CCCGCCGCGCCCCCGCGCCCCACCTCCTTCTCAGTGTTGGACATCTTAGATCCCAACAAGTTCAACAGCAGGAGACGCCGGTGCGTGCTACTGGGCCCTGTGGTGCCCGCTACGTGTGCCCCATGCGCCCCGGCGGCCGCGTGCGTCCCGGTCCCCGCTGCCTCCGGACGCTCGCCGCGCGCAGAGCTGGAACGCCGAACCCTTGCCGTCGCCACGGGAGTTGCAGCGGCTGCGGGAGCTGAGCCTACAAGTGAGTATTAGGGGTGGACGCCAGGGGCAGGGCACTGACTGCTCCGGAATGTTTATGCTCCCGGGACCCCGCGGGGAGCTGGGCCTGACACACTCAGGCCAGGCTCTGGGGAAAGTTCGCAGAGCGCGGGGGTCCGCGCCCGGCGCATCCGTAGCCTCCTCCCGACCCGGACTCTAGGGCCCGCACTGCTGGACGCCCCTGGAAAGGCTGTGCTGGGCCAGATCTGGGGCTTTAGCGTTGCGACAACGGTCAAGGATTCGCCTAGCCAGTCTCTGGCTTTGGAGGGTAGTTGGTGCTGGAGGCGAAGGGACCTGCAGCGGCTGGCTTGGTGACTTACCCACCCCCACCGTGGCCTCCCCAGCCCCCCCCCTTTGGACAAATCAGACTAATTGTGACAAAACGCTGGTTATCTCTGGAAAAACAATTAAATCCCTTCGATTACAGTTAAAGGGAAATGTGCTTAGCGGCGGAAAGCGGCCGGTAATGGGGCGGCCCGCGCCCCCTTTGCGGTCGATATCCCATTACGGCGCATGCATATCTCTTTCAAGCACCTTGCAAACTCCCCCTGAACATCTAAATTATAGGGTCAAAATTCGGATAATTACTCGATTAAAACCTATTACACTTATTAGGGGCCGCTATTGATCGCGAATTGCATTCGACCAGCTCCTGATTGCTTTTTGCGCCCCTCCCCCGTCCTCCCTCCAACTTCCTGGCCCCTGCGCCTCGCACCGACCAGAAAGCTCAGGGTGGACCGGACTGGGGCCACCAGCTCTGCCAGCGCTTCTGCATTGACCTTCCATTCCTAGAGGGAGGAAGAGCAGGTTCCGCAGGCTGCAGTCGGACCCCTCCGGCTCTCCGCCAAGAGGCTGAGCTACCAGGACCCCGCGGCTACCTGCTTGGAGCTGTGTAGGGACCGAGCCAGCCCTGAACAGTTGGGGAGGGCAACCAGGCTGGGGCGTGGATGGCTAAGGGTCGCCCGAGGGAATAGTTGTCCTGCTAAGGCTTGGAAGTTGAGGACCTGACATTCGCAGGCTTCAGGCGATCTGGGTCTTTTGAATTCGGGGAGTGAATTGTCGTTTATGCTCCAGTATGTCGGAGCCGAGCCTTCAAGAGAGCAGAACCGGGGCACTGGGTTGGAAAGCTTGGAGGGCTCCTCTGGCATTTAAAGACCACCTGTGGGCGAGGGGCATGGATGGTCCTCAGATTCCTGCATAGGAAAAGGACGGCTTTCCAAATTTCAGAGACAAAATACAGTCACAGCGGCAGCTTCTGTCTGGGTTCTGCGGCACTGGTGCTCAGATCCTCTCCCAGGCGCCTGCGGAGTGGTTCACAATGCCCTTTTCCAGCCTCCCAACTCGACCAGCTGAGGGGAGGCTGGAGCCCACTAGAGACAGTGTTGTTGGGGAGCTAGATAGTTGGGGTCCCAAGGCTGGCAGGGGAGCCAGCACTTTTCGACGCCTAGTTTTCAGGGCCTGAAGCCTGAGGTAGGGACAGCTCCAGGGCGACTGATTTTGGTTCCCCCAAAAATGGCCTTCTCTCAGCCGGCCGACCCCACCCCAGGCCTCTGGCCCCTCCAGCTATTAAGTGTGCCATAATTGGCTAGCCCCGCGCCGTTGTAATTGGAAGGTAATATACGCCGAAATAAATTAAATGGACTTTAACTAGTTTGTACATTACACAAAATGAGTTTAATTAAGTTTGTATCTGCCCCGTGAATCGATCAGAGAGCTCTCTCTCCCCTGTACACTCCGAGGTCCGCCCGCGCACGGCAGCCCTAAAGGCGGAGGCGCGGACTGACGATGGGGTAGCAAAAGCAGCTTGCGACGACAGGTCCTAAGGAAGGAAGGCAGAGAGGAAATGCAAGCAGCAAGGAGGAATGGCTACAAGGAGGGAGGAAAAGAAAATCTTTGGGGAGGGAGCAAACGAAGAAGAGGGGAAAACCAACGAGATAAAAAGAATCTCGCCGGGAGGGAGCGGGCAGTGCGGCTGGGTGCCGGGCTGACCCTGTGTTCTCTTCCTTTCCGCCGCCCGCAGGTGCTGGAGACTCTTACAGGGCGGACGAGGCCGAGGCCAACGGCTACAGCAGCGGCAGCGGCCGCAGCCCGACCGCGGACAGCGAGGATGAAGCGCCGGAGGACGAGGACGAGGACGAGGCGCCCGAGGTGCAGGATGCTCACGGCACGGAGGAGGTGCGGGGAGGCAGCGGCGGCCTCGGGGCCCGCGGGTCGGGCTGCCCCGGAGCGGCCGAGGTCGAGGCTTCCCCTGTGGATGAGGCCGCAGCCCCAGGCCCCCGTGGGAACTCGCCCGCAGCCCCGGGCCCGCCTGCAACAGCTCCGGGAGCGGGGGGCGCGGGGAGCACCCCGCAGGGCGCGGCCGTGGCCACCAAGCCCAAGCGGAAGCGCACGGGCTCCGACTCCAAGTCCGGGAAGCCGCGGCGCGCGCGCACCGCCTTCACCTACGAGCAGCTCGTGGCGCTGGAGAACAAGTTTAAGGCCACTCGCTACCTGTCGGTGTGCGAGCGCCTCAACCTGGCGCTGTCGCTGAGCCTCACCGAGACGCAGGTGAAGATCTGGTTCCAGAACCGCCGAACCAAGTGGAAGAAGCAAAACCCAGGCGCCGACACGAGCGCGCCGACCGGCGGCGGCGGGGGCCCCGGTCCAGGAGCAGGGCCCGGCGCGGGACTGCCCGGCGGCCTCAGTCCGCTCAGCCCCTCGCCGCCCATGGGCGCGCCGCTCGCCTTGCACGGCCCGGCCGGGTACCCGGCGCACAGTCCGGGAGGGCTGGTGTGCGCCGCGCAGCTGCCCTTCCTGTCCAGCCCCGCGGTGCTCTCGCCCTTCGTGCTGGGCTCGCAGACGTACGGCGCGCCCGCCTTTTATGCGCCCCACCTCTGAACCTCGGTGCCAGGACCTCGGTGGGGACCGCACCACGCGGCCTCGCGGCCGGAGGACCTAAGGCGAGCGCGGCCGTCTCTTTTCTAAGGTTTCAGTCGTTGTTCTTGTATATAGCCGGTTCCTACAGAAGAGAAATTTATAAACGAGTGTGCGCGGGGGTCAAACGGGAGGCTCCCGTGGCCTGCTTCAAGCACTTTGCAAAACTCTTAATAAACCACAGGAAGCCACGCGGGCGTTTTCGAAGGCTCTGGCGCCGCAGGGTGCCGATCCCGCCTTCCTGGCCGCTTGGGTTCTTACCTGTCTGTGTGTCTACTTGAGTGGGGACTTCAGAGCGCTGAGCTCTGGTTTTCCTGTCAGTTTTAGTGTCCCGTGGCCAGTCCTCACTCGAGTAGCTTGTACCCAGGCACCCCTCTGTCTTGGGGCTTGCCCTTGGAGCTGGTGCAGCATGGAGCCGAGTCTCCTTCCCGCTGTCCCCGAAGGTGAGGCCCTTTCCCCTCTCCCTTCAGCCTGGCGCTGCTGGCCTCCAAATGGAGCCGCTCCACTCCCACCCGTTGCTCATGGTCTTCCACACCCGGTCCCGCCAACTCTCTCAACAAGGCTACTTGTGGATAGGAAAGACATCTCGCTGGCTTCCCAGAGGAGGAAGCTGGGCTCCGAGGGTTGGGGTTGAACTACCTGCCAGAGTGTAATAGCCAGACCGGAAGGCCAATGACCTGTTCTGGTGTGTCACTCTGCTGAATCATTTGTGTAAATGTGCATATGGTCCCCATGCACCGAATGCAAGGAGTCACCCGGTGGCTACGGTGGCAGGTGGCAGCTTGTTCCAGCTATGGAAGATTTTACAGACCTAGTAGGGGTGGCGACTGGGGATGAGGCAGGGGTTGGCATGTGGGGGGTTGGGAGTTGGGCAGGCAAATGTCCTTAGGTCTGTGCTAGGGTCTCTGACTCACCTTGGCAAGAACCGGCTGTGCCCCACCATGGTGCTTAGCCGCTTCTTCAGGGCATCCTCCTCCCGCCCTGCCCCACCCCGACCCCCACCCCAAGCACAGTGAGAGGAATCCTGACTCTAGTCAGTTACCTAGATGGGGAGTCAGGTTGAGAATGGGCTACAGTGACTGGCACTGGTGGAGAGTCCTCAGAATTGGCTTCATAGTTACCAAGAATCAAAGGGCAGGTAAGAGCCGCACATCTAGCCAGTCTGCCCCTTGAAGATCTCCCCAAGACTGGTGCCTCTGGCTTCCCCCACTTACCAGCAGAGACCTGGTGCCAAGTCCAGTCAGCTCACTTTCCACTTCCCAGATATTCTGGGCCTGGAATTTTCTGTTCTGAGCTGATGTTGTTTGCGAGTCCCTAAGTGGGCAGCAGGTCCAGCCTTCTAATTCGGCTGGATGACACCTGTATTCCTGGTGGTCACGGAGTGAGAGCCCTGCATGAAGTGGGATAATTTAACTGTGAGAAGTGATGGGTTGGGGACATTCCTGGCCTTGCTGCTGAGGAGTGGACCTCTAAGACACAGGTAGCTGACAAGGAAGCCCTAAAAGAGTTCAGAAGATTCTTGGCATCAAATCACCGCAGGCGTGGCCTGTGCAGGGGCTGCCCAGCCAGAAGCCACTCTCCCTGGATAGAGAGGTCATACAAGGGGCCTGCCCATCCAGCCCTCCCGCAAAGCTCAGAGATCTCTCATATGCCAACACATAACAATCCTAGCCCACACAGCAAGATGTCATGGAGCACGAGAAGGGGTGGGGTTGCCTGACTGCAAGCCTGCTCCGTGTCCATGCTCAGGGGTCCCTGTGTGGGAGAGGGGAAGCAGCTGCCAGAAGACCCTGGCAAGAGACTCAAGGTCGTATGCCAGCCTTGCTGAGCTCAGCTGGGAAAGCTGAGACAATCCAGGGCTCTGGAGCTCTCATGGGAAGATGACAAGGTAGAGCAGGTAGGTGTACTTCGCCGGGGGTCCAGTATTCTGCCATGTGATAATGAATTTTGGCTGGACTGGTCTCTTCACATCTGCCAAGGCTCAGTCCCAAATAGGGCTGCTTATACTTACGGGCCCTCCAACATCCACCCCAGGCTTTAGGACCGGGTAGAGAACATGAGTCAGGGACCATGAGGCTGCAAAGCAGTGAGCTCACCACACATAGCTCCTCCCTTCCATCTCTGGGTTCACTGCTGGCTCCTCACTGGTGTATGGCCACATGCCATGACACGGAGTAGAGGCTACTTCCTGGCATTCCCTGGGCCCCTGTAGTCTTTCTTGCTGGACTCTTGCTGTGTTTGGAGCCCTTTGCCTATGATAGGATATTGTGTGACAAAACTTTTTCTGGGGCAGTGCAACATATCTACTCACCCCAAATAGAGCTCGCATGACAGACCAAATTACAAATACCACCCAAGTCCAACTTGGTGAGACAGTTTTATTGGGGCTACTTATAGGAGTATGGGTGATGGGGTTATTTACAGGAGCAGAAATGACTCAAAGACAGTTGCATCACCAAGGGCCACTCCAGCAGGGACCACAGCTCACCAAGCTGGGAAACGGGGAGCATACTGCATGGCCTGAACACAGCTCAACAGGTTGAAGACTGGCCTTGCCAGGTGCCTCAGTTGGTTTAAACCTCTTCCAGGCTGCTGGACTGGTCTTCCCAGCTTGGCTCTTCAGCTTTTATTGTTTATTCTGGTAGGGAGGGGTTTAGTGAATCCGAATCCGGTCAGTTTCAGGAACTTCCTGAGGCTATTTTGAGTTGTTTGCCTTCCTGTTTAAATGGCTCCCTGCAGGATGGAATGTTTCAATGTGGAGGACACTGTTACACATCACAACTGTGGTCTTCTGTCTGCGACAGGAGTAGGTCCAGAGGGCAAGAGGTTTTTGGGTGCTGGGTTAGGAGGAGCCATCTGGGCCTGCCTAGTTCAGGCCTCTCAGCCTGCTTTCTCAACACATATCTGACGTCTGGTGAGTTTTTGGGTGCAGATTCTGTTGGCTGTTCTGGGGAGCTCTCCAGTTGGTCCTACGACTCTACTTTGGCCAGGCTTGGGGAGGCACACCAGTTTTTCTAGTTCTTAGTCTGGGCCTTGGGTGCTGCATTAGACTGCTGGCCAGCTGGTCTTTAGTCTTGCTGGCCTTTACCACACCCCTTTGGTGTTGGTGGTCGAGAAGCTGCCGGAACCCCAGGACAGGGAGTCTTCCTAGGACTTAAACTGCTCTGACCTGGGCAGTTCTTCTACACAGACTATGCCCATAACCCAGGGTATTCTCAAACTCAAAGTGGCAGTCCTGCTTCAGCCAAGGAAGTGCTAAGAATGTAGGTATGCCCTGTAACGCAGCTGCCTGTCTCCCACACGTGGTGGTTTCTAGCGACAGAGACTTGTCAATAGGAAGGCAATCCTAAAGGCAAAGCTGAACCAAGCAGAAACCCTGGAATAGGGAGGGCCGTCACCCGCACTCGGCCCCTTCCTCTCCGCCCCTAACCTCCTGTGTAAGGACTGCTGAACCCAGACACTGAGGAAGATCCCAGTCAGACCACACACATCCCTCTTCCCGACCCTCCTCGCCACCATCTTGCCCCTGTTCCATGGCCCCTTGGGTATGGGTTAAGATTGGGTGTGTTAGCTTCTGAGAAAAAACTCAAATGAAAAGAATTTGAAAAGAGACTATTTTCTCATGAGAGAATTGTGGCCAGTGGCAGCCCTAGGCAGATCGAACACCTTCATAGAGCCCTACGAAGCCCAGCTCCACCCACCTCTCTGCAGCAACATATTTGGGCTGGGCCTTCATCCTCACAAACCCAGGCATGCTCCAGCCACCATGTCCCTATTCTGGGCAGCCAACAGCAAGAAAGGAAGGATACCACTTCGTTATAAAACACTTTCCCAGAAACCCAGGCTGCTTTTGCCTCACTGGCTAGAGCTTAGCCATGTGGTCACTGAGGGAGGCAGGGAAATGGGGTCTTTCCCTAGGGTCAGGCCCAACAGTGACTGATGGGGGTTTCCCGCTCTGGCCCAGGCCACAGACCCGCACTGCCAGCCTGGCTGCCTTGGTCTTCCTCTTTCCGCTTGCATGGCTCCTCTCGTCTTGTTTACGATCTGTCCTTCCTGTCCACACTAGTTATTTACACTTTTTCTCCTCTGTCCCTGCATGGTGTCGTGTGGTAGTTCTTCCTCTTCAAAGTCTAAGGGTGTTCATCTTATCTGCCGTCCTGCTAAGGGAGGTTGTGGTCTCATCCAGACCCCACTCAAGGTGTCCCCAACAGCCAGTGGCCTTCACTACCCATCTCAGGTGCCCACCCTGTGCCACAATCCTCAGCCCCAGAAATGTCCAGGACCCACCACCTCCAGCTGTGCCTGACACCCAGCTGACCCTGACAAAGGCTGCCAGTGGCTTCAATGAGCTAGTGCATCCCCTTCATGTCTTCCTTGGTGTCTGAGTGCCCCCTTATGCCCAGTGGGTCATTTCCTGCTGGCTGTGACCAGAGCCTATGGTGAGCTCCTCAGGCATCCATTCTGGGTCATCTTGGGTCAGGTGGATCAGAGGGAACCCCCTCCCCCCAGCCCCAAGAGCAAGGATAACTTGGAGATGGGGAAGCTGGACCCAGCACACAGCATGGGGCAGAGGAGGTGGGATCAGGGAAGCAGGGCGCAGAGAGGAAAATCAGGGAGACCATCCCTATGATGGGAAGGAACAGCCATCGAGGGGAGGAAGCAGGAATGAGGCCTGCCCTGGCACCACGGGGTGTGCTCTGTCTGCACTGTGTCCCACCCCAGGACAGCCTGGCCTCACACAGTCTCAGGCCCTCCCCTACAGGATCCTGTCACCTTCCCACAAGTACACGTCCCGGATGTTTGCATTCCACAGCCTCCAGGGAAGTCCTGCATGGCAGCCACCTTTGGGTACAGCACTAATGGCACTGATCTTAGCTCTTCCAGGGAATAAAGACTAGGTTCTGGTGCTGATGTTCAAGGTCAGCTGGTAGAGTGCTTGCCTAGCAAACAGAAGGCCCTGGGTT